TAACATAATTTGAATAGATTTGGATATTGGGAGTTGATGATTTTTCATGTTCAAAGTAATGAGCTGAGGTGCTTCTTTTTGTTGCTTAGCTTTGGTTGATTAGAGTTTCCTCTATTAAATCCTCCTCTCTCTTTTTTTTTCTTTAATAGATAATATTAGATTTAGGAAGAAGTGTGATTTTTTTTGTGTCTAATTAATCTTCCTAAAATGTCTATTATGGATTTTGGAAAAAATTAAAAAGTTCCAGGGAGGAAGAATGAAATATTCTCCTTTCTAATGGAATATGCTTTCGACAAAGATTGAGATGGAGTTTACCACGTGGCTACATGCTATATAGTTTGATCTTTTTTACTTTTCTTCTAAATATAACCAACATTAAAATATTATCAAAAATATATTTTTGTAAGAATATGAAAATTCAAAGAATTTTTTCTTTTTCCTCGCAAACCAAAAATAGAAGTATTATTTTTTTTTTAAATATGATTTTTTTTGGTTTTGTTAATTTCTCAAGTAAAAATCTACTAAAAATGAAATAAAAATTATAAAAAAGATTAGATTTAAATCAATATTTAAAGCTAAAAAAATTGATTGAAATTCAGGAAGGGTCAATAGTCCCGTGTCTACCGTAGGAAAAAAGGAATAACTGATAGTTAATGTGTATTTTAATAAGTAATTAATAATGATTCATATATGAAACTTAACAAATCGAGTTACCTTAAATGTATTTTTACCATTAAATCATTTTTTAGACATGATTTTAACTCCTCTCTTATATATGGAGGACCACAACAAATATTTTCACATAATTTAAAGTTTAACACTATTATAGAAAAAAAAACTAATAATAAATAAGACAAATCAATTTTCATTTACATTTTATTTTACCATTTGACCACCAACATAATTCATAGTAAGAAAACCTGATAAAAAGTTTCAAACTTAGTAAGACAATTAATTAATGTGTAAAAATGTCCCTATAAATGATGTTGAAATCAGCCTATTTTCTCACTTCCCTCTTCACTTCTCTTTTTTATTAATTGATTTTCACCAAGTGTTTTGTCTTAATTTTTTCAATAGTTATGGCAAATAATATTTTCCCAAATGATTTAAACAGTGCCCCTCTTTGCACTATTTGCTTTCACAAGGTTGTTGATGATGCTAAACGATCCATCACCAAACTTATATGTGGACACTATTTTCATGCTAGTATTCATTCATTCATATATTTTTATTAAAAAAAATTTCTATGTAAACATTTGATAAATCAATTAGTAGCTAACTAGATCTTTCACTACTCAACATTAAAAATTGTTTATTTGATTTATATGGCATTTTTTCTTGAATTTTTATTTGGATTTTTACTTCTTCTTTTTTAACTCATTTGAAGTGAATGATAACTCATGTAGTTAGCTAGATTATTTTCTTTGGTCTTTTAGATAAAACCTTGGTGTAAATTGGTAAAAACAAGTACAATAAAAAATATATTTTAAAAAAAGAAAAACTCGGATAGAAACAACAAAAAATAAAGCATTAAATCTTATATTTTTTTTCATATCGTCTAATTTAAAAGTTTGAACGTCATATGATTGATTCCATTTGTTTGGCACACATTAAGACCTAATAATCTAATTGTATAAGCATTATTTTTCTTTTTAATAAGTTAATTCTGAACTTTTATATTTCATTGATTAGTCTTCAATTTTTTCCTATTATACAGATTGTATTGCGGTTGAGTTCAATGTTATTGGGCTAATGAAATGCCCTAATTGCAAAGTTGTCGAAGAAGACGGACTTTGGCTGAAAGTTGCAAACTCTGAAGATGGAGAGAGTAGTGATGAGGACGAAGATAAAGAGTGCAACAATGAGGACCAATATAATGAAGTACATGTAATAATCGTGCATTTACCTTATTTATTATCTAATCATAGTAAAGTCTATTGATTTAATATAAAAATTAGATGGAGATAAATTATTACCGTACTAATATAATTTTTAGTTTGAATATCGCGTCCAGGTCAGTGAGTGTCTACATTCAATTTTAGGGATTTTCTAAGCAAAGGCTTTATATTTATTGATTCTGATCTTTTAATTTTTTGTGTACAATAAAATTATACATCGTTTAATTTTTTCATTGTTTATAAATTCTAAAAAACAAAATTCTATTTGAAATTTAGCCTGAAGATGGAGATATAAACCTTCTTCATACAACAAACGATGCACATAATGGAGGTGCTAGCCATATGAGGTAATTAATCTTACTCTCTTTTTTTTCCTAATAATTTTATGTATGCTTTTTTTTTTCTTTTAGACTTTATTAGATGTTAAAACAGGATGTATTTGAAATAAATTGAACTAATAACACATATTGGTAATAGCATAAAGATATAGGTACCTCTTAAACTTAGCTCAAATTATAGTAACACATGTACAAGGAAGAAATTAATTAGGCAATGATATTGATATCTTATAACGATCCATATGAACTCTAGATTACTCAACTATTTTTCTTAATCAAATACAATTGATTGATTAAACTAAGATTTCAAATTAATGTTTGTGCATGAATAATTTAAGTGTGTTTATAATATAATTTTTGTGGTATAAAATATAGTTTTACGTGGTATGAGATGACCATTAATAATGTTCAACGAGATGGTCGCAACATTTTTTCTTATACTTTTGTGGATGGAAATGCTATTATCCAACAAAATGAGTAAGTTTATTCTCTCACTAAATCCTTTAGCATATACTTTAAGAAGTATATTTAATTTATTTCATGAACCATATATTAATTTGAGTACTTTGTTATTGAAAATAGATGGAGACAACAATTGCATGTGCCTCCTCCTCCAATTGCTTTCGAGATGATTGATTGGAGGATCTTTGTCTCAGGTCTAAACGTTGTTCCGAATCCTGTAAGTCATGAATCACCCACTTTATATGAGCAGACTCGTAACAATGTGTTACCATGTTTGGAGCTCACTTTGGCAACCAGAAGCACTTCAATTAGTGGTGAACGTCCACCACCACCTTGTCAATGTATTAGCTGTCGTGCATCTTCAAGCAAGATGCATTGATGAAAAATACTGGTGTAAAATATCCATCAAACATAACATTTGTGGAAGGTTGTTCTATCTGTTTTTTTTTTTTTGTTTTTTTTTTGAGTTATTGAATTTAAACTATGCTTTTTAGCCTTCGAGATTTGTAGAATCCGTAATTTACTTATTCGTTCTTGTTATTCTGTTTTCATAAAAAATTCTTGCAATGCTTGATCAATTCTTATTTTTAAAAAACTTATATACTACTCAAATTGAAGTGTGTATTATAATTACTAGAGCTCAACACAAAATTGGTGGACTATGCATTTGAAAAATCACACATATTTTATTATTGGTTTATGTGTTCAATTTGAGGAGAACACATGTTTATTATTTATTTATGTCTTAAACATAATCTTTCATATGCAAGTCTGATTTTTTTTTATCATGAACTAAACATGTAGAATTATTTTTTATAATTGGCAATGTTGAGAGTTGAGACTCGATTGGTTAGTGTATTTTCTTCTTTCTTCATTTCTAATTTTCTTAGTTTATGCTTCTAGCAATTTTACTTTCTAATTTCAACTCAATTTTTTTTAAATAGCTAGCTATAGATTAACTTTGTCATGTTTGAAATATTATCCATATATAGATGAGAAAATATGTTCTTTTGTATTTCATTATTGCATGGATTCTACGAAGTAAATTGAAAATTAGGTCATCAAATTTATTGAGCCGCTCTCGGCAACAAAGTTTCATTATGTACATGCATTCATTTATAGATGAGTCTTTTTCTTCAATTACATCAAGAAACATTTTTTTTTTATTCGGTAAAAATATTGTTGTTAATTATATATTTTCCAATATCATTGCTCTTTCTTTTATTTCACTTTCACTTACTCGTTAAGGGTATTCGAAAAAAATCTATATACCTCTACGAAATAAATATAAGGTCTACGTATATTATACCCTCTCTAAATTTCATCTATGAAATTCCACTGAATATTTTATAGTTGTTTTTGGTTGTTTCACCTATTCAAAGGTCCAACATCAAATAAAAAATTAAGTAAAAGAAAATTATATAAATTGAGTCACAAAAAAACATATTTATACTAGCACAATTATGATTCGGGCCCTTAATATGGAATCGCCTTTATTATGTAGCACTTTTAAGTTTTTATCCCATCTTTCACCACGAATTCGAATTTAGTTGGGACTCGTGCCCTATTACAAGTAAAAGATTTCCATTCTCAAAAATCAATTTTTTTTTTCAAGCAACATCTTCTCTCTCGTCCATTGCTCATCAGGCTTCAATTTCCATTGAAGGTGAAAAGACATTTTCTATTAATTTTAATAATCTTTTTTTAATTTTTTTCTCCTTTAAAAACATCAATGAATAAATTTGTTTGATAACAATTCCATAAAACTTCAATTACATATTTGTGCAATGTCATTCTTGATTAATTTATAGACTTATTATTATAATATATTTATCATATGGTTTTGAATTGTCAAACAAAACCCTGGATCATTGATTATCATCAAGTTCAATCAAATCTACAATTTTTGGCTCGAACTATGTATATATTTATATATGAAGAAAAAGTTATAGTGACAATAAATTTTGGATCCGTCTACGTCTTTTTTAATCGAAATTCAGGGGCTATTGCTCATAATGCAGGGGAAAAAATGTGAATGTGGTTGTAAAAATTGAATCATCATAATATCCTTGGTGTGTAATTGGTTATAGAAGCGGATCCAGAATTTAAACTTTATGAGTTCAACCTTTAAGGTTTTTAGCATTGAACGCATTATTATTAACGTTATGGATACATATCTATTTGTTGTAAACTAATTTGATGAATTTTTTCATCCTCTCATTCAAATTCCTGGCTCTGTCACTAACTAATTCGAGCTTGATTTCGATTTCAGGGCTTGTAATTGAATAGAATTGAAGTTGATGAGCTGAATGTTACAATGGATAGTAACAAAGATGAGGCTTTAAGATGCATTACTATTGCTAAAGAGGCAATTTCATCAGGTAATAAACAGAGAGCCCTAAAATTTATTGGAATCGCGCATCGTCTTAATAAAAATTTATCATTGGATGATCTTCTATCTGCCTGTGAAAATCTTGATTCATCGATTCGTGGTACATCTAACGAGGTTAAAAATGACGTTGCTAGTGTGAAAAATGAGACAGGGGATGTGATGAATTATAGAGAGGAACATGTAGAGTTGATTAGAAGAATTAAGAGTAAGAAGGACTATTATGAGATTCTTGGTTTGGAGAAGAGTTGTTCAGTTGATGAAATTAGAAAGGCATTTCGAAAAATTTCGTTGAAAGTTCATCCTGATAAAAACAAGGCTCCAGGTTCTGAAGACGCGTTTAAGAAAGTAGCAAAGGCGTTTAAGTGTTTGAGTGATGTTGGTTCCAGGAGAGAGTATGATGAGATAGGTTATGCTGACGAATTCATGTATAGTCAAGAGTGTAATGTTAGTGGTGTGAGGAGAAGAAGAACGGGGCACGAGTATAGTTTTGGTGATGAGTTTGATCCTGATGAGATTTTCAGGTCATTTTTCGGTCATGATGATGATGTGTTTAGGAGAAGTAGTTATGTTTACAGGACGAGAACTGCTGGTGCTGAGCTGAGAGTAGTGGAGTTAGGTCCTGTTGCGCGTAAATTAGTACTTCTCCTTCAATTGGTGATGTTTTTGTTTATTGTTCTACTTGTATATCGTCCTTACTTTGGAGCCTGACTAAGAGAAGAAGACTTTTTGTTATCGCGTCTGAATTTGATCAGAACTATTGTCTTGATATCGAAGACCATGTTATTGGATATGTTTAATCAGACATGAACACGAGTACATGACTTCCATTGGAATGGAATTGCTTCGTTGATAGATCCAAATTCATATTCACCTTTCTAAGAGATCTTTTTTCGTGCCACTATTGTCAGCCTTAGCCTTCTTTCCACCCCTTTGTACGAGGCTCCTTTCTTCGTGCAAATGCTCATAGGCAAAAAGGACATTCCATTGATCCAATTGACAGGATCAACCACTGTCTCGGTGTGTAAGGCCCTTTCCTGGAACAAGAATGTTTAACGGCTAACTGTGCCAAAATTCGAGATTTTGAAGTAGCTTGAGGTTAGCTAAGTTCTTTCTATCTGCATAGAAACCTTTGCTGCTACACTTGGATTTTACTGAGTTATAAAATATGTATTGAACTAGTGATTTATGTCTATGTTAGAAGCAACATATTCAATCTTCTTTCTCCATATTATGCTATGTTGTTCGAACTTTTCAAAAATGATGCCTCATCTGTATCGTATTTTTCAAAAACGAACTACTTTTGTACTATACGAGACACACCCAATGACATTTCTGAAGAGTTCGAGCAACATAGACATTTATGGCCTTTTTAACGTTATATTGAAGATCAAGGCATGATCTTGCAGGTCTATTGACTAGATGCATGGAACTTTCAAGTGGTAATTGAACACTTCTCATATATTCTAAGTGATAAGCTCGGTCTGGTATCTATGCTGGTGGGAGATGTAGCACATACTTTGTAAATTTAATCAAAAGTAAGTGTAAGCTGATCTGAACACCACGATTATTCGAGGAAAAAAAAAAGGATGCTCCCTTTGTATAAGTAGAATTCACCAATCTGTATCTATGGATTATATTTCATTTTACCTAGATATACCGTATAATTTTTTAACAAATGAGATTCAGTTGAGCCCCTTCTTAAGAATTTAGTCCAGAATGACATGATCTATAGTTTATGTGCACATCGCAATGGAATTTGTTGCTATTGAAAATCCATGCTTTTAAGTGAAAAAGGGTAAAGAGACGATTCTTTGTTCCCTGAATTTTGAATCGCGCATCGGTTGGCTTCGAGAATTAATTTGGAGTAATAACATTTGAAATTTCATAAAATATTAGATGAATACTTTTTATCTTGTCAAATTTTAGTGAACAAAATTATATGATATCAATGCTGATGAAAGTTAGTTGGTATATAATCGAAGTACGAGTAAGTTCATCCAAACACCATTGTAATAGAAAAAATGTAGACAAAGTGTAACAATTTTCTTTAGTGTAACCACAAAATACCATTGATAATGCGAGAAAAAACTTGCTCACAGCCATTAGTATTTACACAAAATTAATAAAAGTTATCATGGTTGAATAGTATTTCCTTCGTCTCAAATTATTTATCGTATTTCTTTTTTACATTCTTCTTAAGAAAAAATTAAATAGGAGAAATTTTTTACTATCTTATGGTCATTTATGTCTCAACTCTTAAGATATAATCTCTTTATTAAATATACAATATTAAAATATTTTTGTAATCTTCTAGAACAATTACTACTAAAGATAAAATAGAAAAAAATAATTAATTTTGTTTTGACTTTTGAACTTCAAAAGTCACAAACAATTTCAGACAATTATTTTTAAAATTCATACTAGATAATTTGATACAGATTGGAGTACATTGATTCGAAAATACATACTAATTAATTAATCACAATTAAGTGATGAACTGTATTACAAGGAAGACACGTGTTATTATGGACTGGGTTGACCCACTGGCCCATGGGTTGTGGCCCAGAACCGGCCCAACTACTCACTTTAGTGGGCCTATTGGCCCATTGTTAAAGCCCAAATTCTAACTGCTTTGTTCGTTAATTCTTCTCAAACCCTCTCTGCTGCTGCTGCCGCTGCCAACTCCTCGTTGTTCTACTTCTCCGGCGGCTGATTTGTATGTTTTGCTAGCTTTCTCTCACATGCTTTCTCTCTCTACATATGTCCTATTTTGAATATTTTTAGTGATAAAATGCTGATTTTTTAGTTAATTGGATTAACATGTTGCTGTTTTTGCTTCTATTTCTTAAAATAAAGCCTCATTCGCTGAATAATATAGTAATAGTATTGAATAATGAAAAAAAAATTACATATTGTTGTTTACAGTTGTTAAAGGTGTGTACTACTTTTTTTTTTTTTTTTTATGTGGGAAGTGTTTTGGTAGAAATTTAGTAACGTGCTCGGCGTAGTGGTCAATGAAGTGGGTTGAGCACTATGAGGTCTCGAGTTTAAATCCTGTTAGAGACAAAACGCTAGTTGATTTGTTTCAATGTGTTCTAACTTTGGTGGTGGTAGGAGCTTACAAGTATCTGGTGGAATTAATTGAGCTGCACGTAATCTGGTGGTTATCAAAATAAAGAAAAAGAAATTTAGCAACTTCTTTTTAGAATCTCTGTAGAGACAAAAACACTTATGTGATTTCTTCCCATCTGTCATAGCCTTTGTGGATAGTGTTATCTGATACTTGGTGGTGGTGGTGGTGGGAGGTGGAAGGTCTGTTGGATTTAATCGAGGTGTGCGAAAGCTGACCCGGACACTACGGTTATAAACAAAGAAATAATGTCTTTATATGCCACTGCTATGTATAACCTATCAAATTGAGCATATTTATTGAAACCTGAACTATTATGGTTTATTGGCTTTAAATTCAACTAACATGATTCTAGTCTTAGCTTAGAAAACTCCAAGCGAATTCTTCCATCCACCTAACTCTTGGTGTATAGTTACTGCTGGTGGGTTGAATTGTAGCAGGTACTCAGTGGAGTATTAGAGTAGTGCATGCAAGCTAACCTGGATACTACTATTGTAAAATAAAAATATATTCAGCCTGATAGTGTCAATTGGTGATACTGATGCATTTATTAAAAAAACAAAAAAATGATGTCAAATCTAGATGTTAGAATTATCTGATGAATCCCTCTGTCATCAAGCGTGGGCGGGTGGAGATTGGTCTTTGATCAGCAATGTTCTATCTCCTTGGTATGGAATTGACAATAAAACAAAGTAAATAAAGAGTCATTCTGAACATTCTCTGATTAACGAAATAACTTTGGCGATTAAGCTGTGTTGTCTGTAGCCCTATGCTTTGAGTAGGCTGATGTGTTTCTCAACTTGATGGCTTTGAAGATGAATTTCTTTGTTCCGAAATTCATAGTTGAAACTTGCTTCTGAAGTATCGAACATCAGCCAAAATGTCTCGGAAAGGATTGATGGAGCAAGATCTAAGCAAATTGGATGTGACAAAGCTACATCCGCTTTCGCCTGAAGTTATTGCTCGTCAGGCAACAATAAACATTGGTAAACTAGTAATTAAGAATTATTGATTACTTGCATTCAACAAGTGCTTACGTTATTTCGTACATGGAATATACCTCTTTTTTTTTCGTTCCATTCTCTCTCCAGGGTAGCTGTTTATACACTTTAATTACTCACACTGAATTACTGAAATGTAATTTCATATTCTAGGTACTATTGGCCATGTGGCTCATGGGAAGTCAACAGTTGTAAAAGCTATATCTGGTGTACAGGTATGTCTGTGTTTAAAATTCTGGTCCTTTATCAATGGAGTTTAATTTGTTCCACTAGTTAATAAAGCTTTTGTCAGATTTGGCTGTCCTCTATTTAACTGTTGCTCTTGAGTTACAACCAAATGATATGTTGGTCTTAGTAAACTGTAAATATAGATACTTATTTACATATGTATTTGTGAGAAAAACTATTCTTTCTGTTGATCTTTTGATATCTAAGGGTATTTGCTATTTACTTCAGCAACTAGAAAGCATTTCTGAGTTTTGTGTCCTTTTCCTTTTGTTATGATTAAAAAATAAAGTAGCTCCACGCCCTCCTACTTTATATGCTGGTTATGAATCAAAGCTACTATTACATTAGCCTCTATTGCAACATGACACAGAGCTGGTATTTGGAGAATTAATTTGTCTTATCTGTTGTGGCTCAATTGATATTTCTTAGATGTTGATTTGTAAGTCCTTATTTGTTTTGGACTTTGTTTAGTCTAACTGTGTCCGGTGAAAGTAGTCAGACTGCAAATAACTATGCTCTCTTATTTTTGCAGACTGTTCGTTTTAAAAATGAGCTAGAGCGTAATATTACAATTAAGCTTGGATATGCAAATGCTAAGATATACAAATGTGAAGAAGAGCGCTGTCCTAGACCTGCATGCTACAAGTGAGTCCTTGATTTGAGAAAGAATCATTCTTGTACTTCATCTGGTAGCTTGTGTTGTAACAGCAGTCCTTTCCAGGGCTTATGGAAGTGGAAAAGAAGACAATCCCATGTGTGACGTCCCTGGTTTTGAGAACTGCAAAATGAAATTGCTGAGGCATGTGTCTTTTGTTGATTGCCCGGTAAGTTCCACACATGCCACTTTCTACAGTATGTATTACTTAAAATATTACTTGTGCATTCTGTTTTTATTATACAGATAAACCTTTATTGTCTTACTGAACATGGATATGACATACATCCTTACAATAGAAAAGTATCAAAGAAGAAATCTTACTGTGAATTATTACTGTTTTTCTTTTGTAATGAATATTCTAACATTACATATAAGCTTTGGTGTTCTTATTTAACTTGCAGTCCCTATTAACTTTCTCTACGAATTAAAAGAAGTCTAGGAAGTTAAGAATGGCATCAATGATTAACAATTCAGGCATAGACACTTTCTCCTGCATCTAGCCTTATGCCAGTTGTTTAGGTTCATTTTGCGACAATATCATTGTACTTGAGCATTTAATTTCCTGACATATCAATGTTTTATATGACATCTTTTACTTCAGGGTCATGATATTCTCATGGCTACTATGCTTAATGGAGCCGCAATTATGGATGGCGCCTTACTTCTAATTGCTGCCAATGAGAGCTGTCCC